TCCTAATTAACCCACTCTTAAAGGTTATCAAATGCTCATCTCTCTTCTTATACATAATATTGGCCACCACTAGGTTAGAAGCCAACGCAGAATCTAAAATACTCTTTCCAGCCTCATTTCTATCACCAAAACCATACCTACCATGCACCCTCTTATGACCTAGTTTATAATTCCTACATGGCCATAGAAACCTCCACCTATGACTAGGTTCTCTCATACGGGTATCTCCTCTAATACCTCATCAATTTGGTCTCAAAAATCTCTCTTAGTCTGATCATCTAATTCTACTTGGGGGGGAGGGGACGTATATACTAATAATGTTTATTATATTCTCTTCAATAACTAGTTTAACTAATATAATCCTATCACACATTTCCTAATGACCGCAACTACATTTTCTACAAGACCCTTAACAACTACTATTCCTACCTCATTCCTATGTTTATCCTTGCCATTATAATATAGTTTAAAATCGGTATCCTCTATTTCTTAGATTTCTCACATGTCCCACTTAGTTTTTTATATGCAAGCTAAACTAACGCTCATTTTAATCATAACATCTATCAATTCCATAGTCTTACTAGTTAAAGTTCCTATATTCCATTGGCTACCCTAAACCTATAGCCTTGGACTAGCTTCTTTATTTGCACTCGTCTAGAAAAACGCGACAACCTTTGTTCATTTTTCACTGCACACAGGCGTCAATGCAGCGCCCCTTGCTCACTTTTCGAAACACCCGGAGGTAAGTACAACGCGTCACTTATACTGTGTTTGGTTGAGGGATTTGAAGAGAGATTTGGAAAGGGAAAGGGAAAAGGTGTGTGAAATTAAGTGAAATGTAGGTATATTTTATTCACATTTCACCTACCTTTTTCATTTCCTTTTGTAAATTCCTCCTCAAATCCTCCAACCAAACACAGTATTAAGAAAAACAACCTAGCATTTAATCGATTCTAAATAGGATTTATTTTCATAAATTTAAACTGCATATTGATTTTTTGGTATATAAGTAAAAACTATGAATATAAAATCATGAATATTTGGTGGCCATCTCTTTTTGAAATAGATTATTTTAGTAAGGTAAAAGAGAGTAAAAGGATAAAACAATTTATGTGCTGGCCCACTCAACTCCTTAATAAGAACGCCATGTGGTGTTGGAGAAATCATTCAAATCATATAGCACTGCTCTTACTTTTACTATAGTTTTAGTTGGTGTTAGGATTTTCATTTTTCTTGTTGGCTGAAAAAATTTCTAAAGAAAAACATAAAATATTTGTCTTTTTTTTTTATATTAAATTGTGCATTGTTTCATTTCTAATTCTTCTTCAAGCTCTCATTCTTTTCACTTTCTTCATTTTCTTTTATCTAAATTTTATGGTTTCGTTAAAATTCAAGTAGCATTATTTGATACTTTAGTGAAGCATATGCTTATGAAATAGTCTTGTTTATGAATTTTGGGTATGTTTGATTAATGCTTTTAAAAAAAATGGTAAAATTTATTTTACCCTCTTGTAATTTAAGCTAATTGCACTTCACTCCCTATCGTTCAAATATAGGTAAACAATACCCACATACTTTTGGACTAAGGCCCCGTTTGATTTAGGGTGTAATAGATGGAAGCGGATTAGAATGGAGGTAGAGTTATTTAGTATTGTGTTTGTTTGTAGAGTTAGGGAAGGGATTAAGATGGAGGAGGGGATATAGATAGAGGTTGGAAGGGGGATTGCGATGGAGGATGTGGAGGTAGTATTAGAAAAATAGTGAGAGGATTAGAAATTTTTTTATTTTTTATATATTGGGAATTTTTTTTAATTATTAATGTTTAATTTTTTATTTTATATAAAAATAATTTAACAATTCCTACACTAACAACTATCATCAAAACAAATACAATTTTACTTAATCCTCTCACTATGAATCTCATCTATTCTATTTCTGAAAACAAACGGAGATAAAGTTAATACATGAACTAAATGCATCCAGGAAATAAAATTTGTGTAGCTATGCAGAACCTTACTTGGTTCAACATAATTATTCTAGCAGTAAGCATCAACTGAGCCCCTTTGAAACATATTTCACAAGGACAATATCTAAGCATCAAGGGACAGTAACCTCTGGTTTTACCTAACAATTTAAATACAAGCGATGGATTCCAAGAATAACCCTTGATAATATTAGATTTCTGATTCTATTATAATAACAAAATAATATAGCTATTTCAAAACCCTATTCTTTTACCTTCTTAAACCACAAAGATCATAACTTTCAAATATCAACAACCCAATTTGCAGAATTGAAACATTACCCAATCAAATTCAAACCATCATATTTTGAAGCAACTAGTTAAAACAGAAACTAATCAATTATCACATTTACATATGCATATGCATACACATATACATATACATATATATATATATATATATATCAATCCATGCAAAAATTAATTGAGATTTTTGTATGAGAATTACCTAGAATTGGAAAGCCTGTTGAGAGGTTGAAACAGGGAGTTTCAGTGATTAGTGAGCTTTGGGAGATTCAAGAGACACGTAAACGAAAAAGCAAAGCAACCTTTTATAGAGAGAAGATTGACAACAGTTCTGTGTAAAATCTACCCAAAGTCTTGATTATTTCAAATTTAGGAGGACGAGAGAGATTGTACCGTTGCTCAAAAGTTTCCGATTTCAATCCAATAGCCGAGCCTTTGTCGCTGGTTATTTGTAGCGAGGGATTTGGGTTTGATAAAAATTGCCGATTGCCTTGCCGAGTTTGATGGAGCAACGATTTGATGCCGTTTCTAATTTTTGGGTATAAAATAATTAACATAAATAAATAACGAGTTTGATACTGATGCTCTACGATGCAACTGTTACAATTTTTTTGTTTAAATTGAGGGAAGGTGAAGTTCACTGCACTGACAACAGTACCCTTGACTTTTTTCTTCTTCTGCTACCCATGTGAAAATCGTACCCCTAGCTAATCAAGCCTCATACCAGCCACCGTCAATCACCTACACCGCCTCCCTTGCCACCTAGCACTGCCTCTCTCTCTTCCTCCCGGCCACAACCCCTCTTTTGTAACCCCACATTCAAGAACATTATCAAATCGAGATTGTGGGGAGTAGTGAGTTAAGTAACTATGTCAATCGAGATGTTTTGTTGAAATTCACAGCTCAAAGGCTTTAATCGTTGTTTGAGAATGCTGCTTGTTTTACAAAGCTTTGGGTTTATAGTGAAAATGGTGACCCATTTGTGATCAATAATGGAAACTTCATCATAATTGAAGGCTGCCAGTGATGCGTGGTGTTGTTGAGAACGGGTAACTGTTGGTGAACAAGCAAGGTGTGACTTTGACGAACAAGTATGGCTATATATATTTATATCCTAGTAATAATTATTGTTTGTTTTGTCATTTTATGAGGTGGCAAATCCAATTCAAACTTATGACCCTGCTCAATTATACCTATTTAAAATCTACATAAATTCAATAAACTTTAATAAATTGTTCATTGTCAACCCAATTAAAATTGAATTTACATGGGTTGAACATGGACACCCATTTAAATCCGTCTAAATGGGCACTACTTCCACCACCTTCTCTACCACTACCACCACGACCACGGCCATTTCACACCACTACCGCTGACGCACTATCACAATCATTGCCACTCTACCACTGTTATTGTCACTTTTCCACCACCGCCACCGTCACTCCACCACCACCTCTGTTCCACCACCGTCATCTTCGTCATAAAATTAAAAATTTAAAAATATTAATAAAAAAAGAGATGAACTAAATGAGTTGGTTGGGTTCATTTATCCAACCCCTATCCAATTTAACCCAATTTGCTTAAACTCATTTACTAAATGGGCGAGTTTGGATTGGATTACTTTAATTCATAACCCTTTTTGACCATCCATTTTTACTTCTAAATGAGATTAATTATATAAAATATAACTTTGATATATTTTAATATTAAAAATTATATTTTATAAATATATTATTTTACTATTATATTTTAATATTAAAAATTATTTTTTATAAAGAACGGTGGAAAAATATTAAAAAATGATTGAAGAAAAATTGCACTAACCAAGTATAGTAAATAAATTAGGTAGGACAACAAGAGGACAAAATTGTCTTTTACAAGCTAATACCAACGGATTAAATCAAGAGCTTCTATCTACACACACCAAATCCCCTCTATACACACACTTAATGATATTTAATTTTATTATAATTGTATCCCTAAGTGAAATTACTATTTTAGACATCATTGTTGATTCAAAACATCTCAATGCACACATCCATCTAGAGTTCACATCTGTTGCATCGTGCGCACATCCATCCAATTCAAAACGGCTCCAAGTTTGTAGCTTCATTGAGCTAGAAGTGAAAGCAGAGTATTCACTCATTCGTAGCTTCTTCCAAGTTCATTGAGCTAGAAGTGAAACCAAAGGGCTTTGGCATTTCCGTATTGCACATGCACTGCAGCTTCTCAAATGCACTCATTCATCAACCTTCCTCATTCATAGGGAAAGCATCATTGTTATGGAGGATTTGCCTTTTGAAAATCAGCAAATAAGTGTTTATGAGAAACATAGCGAAGGAAATGTGAGTTTCTCTCTTCTTCTTTTTCCCCAGCGTCGTTTGGATAACCAGAGTCAAATTGTATTATTTAGTTCGGAAATCTACTATCGAAATAAGTATTTATTTTCAGAAGTTGTTGTCCGAAATAAGTAATTAATTTCGGAAGTTGTTGTCCGAACAAAGTATTTAAATTCGGAAGTTGTTGTCCGAACAAAGTTAACTTTTACAACATTCAACTTCCGAAATTTTAAAATAAATTCGAACAACTACTTCCGAATGAAGTAAGAAAAAAATTTCCCATTTTATATTCCAAATTTGCAAACTACATACCAAATTTACAATTTTGAATTGCAAATTAATCTTTATAATGCCATTAAAAATTTGTAATGTTATACAAAACATGTAGGAATATGTGTCAACTCAAGGAAGTCAGGTTTGCGCGGATCCGATTTTGTGTTGAATTACACTACTCAATTCACAATGGACCAGGTTCACTCTACGAAATTATAATGATTATGTTTCGAATTGCTCACCAAATGTAAATGTTTGATAATATTTATTTGAATTTGTAGGTATGAAAAAGTAAGGATGAATTGCTCAACTGGGTACGTGAAGTTGGAAAGAGAAATGGTTTGGTCATTGTAATCAAAACATCAGACTATGGTGGAAGGAAAAAAAGACCCAGGATGTATCTTGCTTGTGAGAGGAGTGGCCAATATAGAGCGACAAAGAAGTTAAAACATGATGGCAACAATACATCAAGAATAACCGGTACGAAGAAGTGTGGTTGTCCTTTTGATATGAGGGCTCACGGGTTTACCACACATGATGAATGGACATTGACCGTAGTATGCGGATTGCATAATCATCCACCTGTAGAGCACCTTGAGGGACATTCATATGCGGGGAGGCTATCAAAAGATGAGAAAGCATTGTTAATGGATATGTCAAAGAGCATGGTTCGGCCAAAAGAAATCCTAGTAACCTTGAAACAGTGAGATGCCCTCAATGTAAGCGCATTTAAAACCATTTACAATGTACGCCATCGAAACAGGGTGGTACAGAGAGCTGGAAGATCACAGATGCAACACTTATTGGGTGAATTGGCCAAGTATAATTTCATTGAGCGCCATCGGTCTGAAGAGTCCACGATGACTGTGACAGACTTGTTTTGGGCACATCTTACCAGTTTGGACTTATTTTGGTCTTTCCCACGTATATTAATTATGGATTGCACATATAAAACGAACAGATATCGTCTTCCTCTTCTTGAAATTGTGGGAGTGACATCAACTGAAATGACATTTTCTGTAGCTTTTGCATACTTACACTATAAGAGGGTCAATAACTATGCGTGGGTGTTAGCTACATTGCATGATGTCATGGATGGTTTTGTTGTGCCAACAATTATTGTTACTGACAGAGAGCTAGCCTTGATGAATTCCATACAGAAGACATTCCCGAGTGCCAGACATTTATTATGTCGTTGGCATATCAGTAAGAATGTATTGACCAAATGCAAAAAAATGTTTGAGACACAACAGAAATGGGAGAAGTTCAACCATGAGTGGAACTCTTTAGTGTATTCATCTTCTGAAATTCAATACGATGAGTGTCTTAAATCATTACTTAAGGAATTCAGTAGTTATCCTGATGCAGTCAAATACATCATGGATACTTGGTTGGTTCCTAACAAGGACAAATTTGTGGCGGCATGGACAGATACGTGTATGCATTGTGGCAATGTTACAATGAACCGGTAAGATTACTTTTCTTCAATATGTTTTTAATAAGTGCCATGTACTTGATTTTAATTTGACTTACATTGAATTGAACAAGGCTGAGAGTGCACATGCAAAACTTAAAAGACAATTGGGTTCATGTCAAGTCTCATTTCAGGCATCATTTGAGAAAATACACAGTCTGCTTGAGTTGTAACACACTGATATGAAGGCTTCGTGCAACATCAATTTAAACCTTCTCAGTTCAGGGAGCTACGAGGTAATGTGTCTATCTCTACATTGGAGTATTTGCTTGTAGAGAGTAAGAGAGCCAATTCCATTGGTATTGATGTTGAAGCTTGTGGATGCGTCATTCACCACACTCATGGTTTACCTTGTGCCCATGAGATTGCTGACTACATTAGACAAGATCATCCTATACCACTTGCTACCATACCCTCACAGTGGAGGCAACTTCATATCTCCATATGCAAGAAAGAAAAGGAAACGGAGGTGAGTTGTCATGCAGAAGTAGAGTCGTTTGTGAACAAGTTGAATGAAAGTGATAGAACCATGCGGTTGGAGCTTTTAAAGAAGTTGAAAGAGATTGTATATACGGGAAGCACTTTTCTTGTTGAGCCGGAGGTGAAGCCCAAAACACGTCCTCGGGATCATAAGAAGATCAATGTTTCTACCCGTCGTGACCCGTGTGCATTTGAGTTGGTGCAATCTAGACATGATTCCTTCTCACCTAGGGACACTCAAATCACTACATTAGCTTCTACTCTGCAAACCAAGAAGAAGCGACCTGTTAAAGAAAATGAGAAGGTGAATCCAAAAGGGAAGGTATACATTACTAGAACAGTGAAACCTGGTGCATATGTTGATGTTTTCCCTTCTGGGTTGAAACCATACATTAAGTTTGTCAAGGATGTAACTGCAGATGGGAATTGTGGTTTCAGGGCTATAGCTGCTTCAATTGGTCATACAGAAGATGATTGGGCTCAAGTTAGGCGTGATCTGTTGGGTGAGCTGCGCACACACAAAGAGGAATACATTACACTTTATGGGTCCTACGAAAGGTTTGAAGAATTGACAAACATATTGTCATACTTTGAAGACAGTCCTGGATACTCACATTGGATGACTATGCCAGACATGGGGCATCTTGTTGCATCGTGCTACAATCTTGTGTTATACCACTTGTCATTACAGTAATGTCTCACCTTTTTACCTCTTAGAACAGTGCCAGTACCTCAACTTGATAGACATGAGATTGCCATTAGGTTTGTCAACGGAAATCATTTCATCCAGGTATAACAGAAACTTATAAATTTGTGCATGTACAAGAAGTTATGAGGTATGACCACTAACTCAATTGATATTTGGTGCAGGTTTTGTTGCAGCCAGCCATCCAGTTCCTCCTATCGCCACTAATTGGCGAAAATACCGTCACCCTTGCGCTGTCGACTGGGATGATGCATATGTGCGTTGCATTCAACATTTCAAGGACATTATTCATGATAATGTAGCTACTCGAGAGACATTTGATGTTGATGTCGCATGACACATGTATGCATTTGACAATGTTAGAATTATGGAAGAAATTAATGGATGTGTTTTTTATGTTGATGTGTTCTGTTTTACAATCTGGATTGAATGTTATCGACCATTGTTACCATTCCATTGTAATAAGAAAATATCATTTACAAAATCAACGACCATTGTTACCATTCCATTCTAATAATAAAATGTCATTACAATGTCATTACAATACCATTGTTGCCATTCCATTCTAATAGGAAAATATTAACCACTGTTACCATTACAACAATATCATCTTACAAAAAACACCAAAAAAATTCATCAACTAACAAATAACATATCACGAATCAGCTGTATGCCTACGCCTAGGCGTATGACTGTATGTCAATGTCGAAGATGGAAAGCGACCTCTAGTATAACTAGGTCCAACAGAACTAGGTCCAGCTTCGTCAATGTGCTGACCTTGAAGGACATGCGTCATACTCTCGATAGCCTAGTAAAGTCGATGAGGATGTCGAATCCCCTCCTCATAGCTAGCATCAATAATAGGATGTGAAATCTACAATGCATGTGCAATACGCTGCATTTGAAAAGAATATCACATTTTAGGGAACATATTAGAAAATAAAAAGTAAGTTACAAATGCATAAAAGAGGATAATATATTACATCGGCATGTTGGCTGAAATCCTGATGATCATGGACACGGTTCATCAGTGTGCTCAACATATAGGTGCGTGATATTCTTATACCAATCCATGTAACCCGGTACACGTTCCCAAGGCTGACGAACGGGTGTGTTCCTCCGTTGCTCAGATAACACGTGGTTATCCCAAGCCTCCCAGATCCTATCCAAGTATCTATACATGACTGTATATCGTGCAGATATGTTGCCTCGAGCACCACGATTGGGAGCTAGCGGTGCATTTGGGATGGTTTGAACCCTGCCAAACTGCCTCAGAACTCTATCTGGATGATAGGGTTCGACAACGTCTAAGCACTTTAAGCATCCATGGTAGAACGTAACCGAGTTACATGGATGCCGGTCTCTGCAGCTGTGGTATGGATCCCAAATAACCTGTAAACGTAAAGTGTTTTTGAATTAAAGTATATAAAGGGTAAGATAAATGGAAAGTGTTAAAATTATCTCAGGATGAGTAAACTTACATCAGTAGCTACCAAACTGTCAAGCTCGGCTCGAAAAGATTTCAAATAATCAATAGAGGAACCCACCTCTCTCCTAGATGCCCAATGGTACACGCGTGGCATGTCTTCATTGTAGCCCATGTTCTGGTGAGGTCGGAATGCTCGGAAGTGCTCATAAATCCACGCCTCCAAAAGAGTCATATAACCACACATATGCTTAACCCCGGACCGGCTAGCATACCCCAACTATCTGTATAAAAATGCTAATGCAGCAGCACCCCAGGCGTACGTATGAATAGATCCCAAATCCATCAATAAGCCAAGGTAAACAACAGGAACCCTGCCACCACTATTGTCACTGAAGAGTGTACATCCCAACAGAAACAACAAATAAGCTCTAGAAGCGCACTGTATAGCCTCCTCGGGGTCTGAATCTGTGACACCAGCAAACTGACTTCGCAACCACTCAAGCCTGACTGAATTGCCACCAGCAGTAGAAACCTCTTCATGTGCTACACGTTCAGTAATCCCCAAGCCATAAACGAGTAGTGTAACTCCATGATGATCTGTCACATCTGGTACGCTGACTGATTTGCCTATAATGGGAAGGCCAAGAATAGTGCCAACATCATCCAGGGTCAAGGTCATCTCACCAACTGTCATGTGAAATATGTTCGTCTCAGGTTGCCATCTCTCAACAAAACTGGAGATTATAAGCTTGTTGATGAACCGATAAGTGCAACGAGTTAACTGTGATAGCCCAAACTGCTCAATAATGGCTTTGAATCTGGTTGTCATGACCCGAACCCGCCCCTATGGGTTAAGGACATAACCGGCCAATAATCCTGAGATTACCTACGGCCTCAAACCAAAACAGACATAACTCATCAGAGTAAAGGAGCCAAATGGAAGCAAAATTTAAAACTTTGTCCATAGAGCTGTGCTTACATGGCACGTCGTAACAAACCAAACATGTACGTATTAATAACTCACATCACAAAATACAGTAGCATAAGGTTCTGTATAGACAGGATCATTCAAGTCTTAGTCAACCCATGAAAACTATATACAAACGTATTCAAAGTCTTCGCCAATGTGACAAAATAAAACAGGATAACAAAAAGGTGGAGACGAGTCTCGTGCGTGAGACACTAGGGCTGACTCTTCAAAACTTGGTTGTTCCTTCCAAACTTCACTGAGGCTGGGTTTGGACCTCTCTTGGCTCACCTACAAACACATGAATGAGCGTGAGCGAAAGTCTAGTGAATAATATCAAATAAAGAAGTTACACAAATCGTATTTAGAACAACGTGCTTCGAACGGCCTTGGGCCCAATTCGTATTTCTATCTAACATATATAAACATAGGTCAAGTGATTACGGTTCCAAATACATCATACGGCCTCGGGCCCAATTCATTCGTACCATTCAAGTCAAACTGGCCTTGGGCCCATTCATACTTTCGTTCATGTCAAACTGGCCTTTGGCCCATTCAGACTTTCATTTAGGTCAAACTGGCCTTTAGCCCATTCAGACTTTCATTCATGTCAAACTGGCCTTTGGCCCATTCAGACTTTCTTGTCAAACTGGTCTTTGGCCCATTCATTTATTCATGTCAAACTGGCCTTTGGCCCATTTATCTTTCATTCAGATCATACTGGCCTCTAGCCCATTCATTCTGTCATTCAAACTCATACGGCCTCTGGCCCATTCATTCTATCATTCAAACTCATACTGGCCTCTAGCCCATTCATTTATGTCAGACTAGCCTTCGGCCCATTGATTCATTCATTCGTGTCAAACTGGCATTTGGCCCATTCATTTGGCATAGCAAACATTGTCCACCATTCAAATTAACAAACTTATAACTTACATAGAAATAAGCAATTGGACAACAATATATTTCAGATATCTTTGTCAAGATATTACTCACAGTGATCGGTTGGTTGGTTTGCCCTGGAGCTTGACCCTACACATCACATAACACATACGAGTCACAAATGATTCAATCCAATCTTTAATTCACATATTCCTCTTTAGGCTTTATTCTTATTCCTTTGATTCAATCACAATGCTCAATGTATGCCTAAGAGTACTTAGAAGTGAAAGAGAACAGAAAACGAAACACAGAATGCCTTTTTAAAATTTTCAGAAACAGGGTCCCCGCTCGAGCGTGGACTTCCCCGCTTGAGCAGACCCATGAGGTCTGCAAAAGCACTGGTTATGTCATTTTTACGCTCGATCGCGAATTCTGGAGCTCGAGCGGAACGCCTCACTACATGGCTCCCCGCTCGAGCGGACGTCATGTCTGCAGAAAATACTGGGAGCTCGTATTTTATGCTCAAACGGCGGATCCCCCGCTCGAGTAGACATCAAACTTTCTGGATTTTCCAGAACTTGTTCTTGAGCTTCAACTCGACATTCAAAGGCTCCAAACACATAATTTCAGCTCAAACTTCACATATACATGTACTAACATGGTACAAACTCTAAATTGCAACATTATGAAGTCCAATTTCACAAATTAATCACATGCATGTCCCAATCTCACATCGAATTCATTTCCAAGATGACAAATTCATGCATTCAAACTCACATTCTTATAAATTGTACATGCATGTGAGATATACTCATTATTCTCAACTTAATTTGTGAAGAGATGATCAAATACATGGACTTCAACTAAAAATTTACATGGATCATACATTTTGTGGTCAAACATGCAAATTCAAAGCAATTACACACGTGCATGCATACATTGACCATCAATTCAACAAAAACAACTCAATTCATGACCTTTATCATCATTCAACCTTGAATTTACAAATTTACAACTAGAATTCATGGATTACTCACCAAGGAGCTTTAATCTTCTCAAACTGTGGTCAAATCTTGAGTTGGCCTTCAAATTATTCAAGCTTCTTGAGAAATCTTTAATCTCCTACACTCTCTCTCTCTAATTCAGTTCTCTGACTCTCTAAGGAGCCCAAAATCAACCAAATGAAATAAAAGAGAGATATTGAGTGTATAGTGCCCTTAAGGTAAGTCCCACTAATCAAAAATATCAATATTAAATAATTGGGCACTTAATTAATCGTTCTGAATCTAATTATTTTGATCCGAATCAATTTTCAATTAAATTTCACCGTAGGCTCTAAAAATTGCGCTAATTACAATGGCGTAGTCAATTTTGGGTTTCGTGGCCGATAAGGCCTTCAATTTAATTTTCAAAGCAAATAATCAAACAGATATTCCTACGGTGAACAGATAGAAATTCAAAACCACATATTTTCACATAAATGGTACACAAAATCGTATCAAACAAATAATCACATTTATATTAAGGACTAATTAGCATGATACGGAACAGGGTTATCACACTGGTGGTGTTGTCTACTGACCACCATGGCCATGCAAGGATCTTCGAAGAGTGATTATGACACTTTAGGGGCCCTCGTTCCTATAACACAAATAATATCTCATTAGAAACTACCATACAACACACACAGGGAAAAAAAAAATTCATATACAAATGAATTTCACTTCTACTCAGGAATGTTTACCTCCCCGTGCCAAACAGTTGCAGCGACATGACTATTGAAACTCCGCAGTATTGATGGATCAGTCGGTCCACCTGGAAAAGCATGAGTAAGGTCCTCTTCCTGGACAGGAGGAGAATCAGGTAAAGAGGCATCCTCCACAGCAATGTTAGGCATATCATTACCTTGAACTCGTCTTTGGCTTCGGCTCCGACTTTGACTGGCATTGGGGATATCATATTCTACCGAAACTGGATCACAACCTCGACCACGACCTTGACCTCGTCCTCGCCCACGCCCTCGTCCCCGTTCATGGTCTACATCCAATTCACGACGTCGTCTATTTGAAGCAGTAGGTGGGACACGTTGTTGACATTCAGAATCCATATTATCTGCAAAAAATAATAAGTGTCTGTAATGAGTGTGTGTAAATAAAGAATGGCCATGCAAATAAGTGTGTGTAAATAAAGAGGGTGTGTGTAAAATTATAATAAGTATGTGTAATGAGTGTGTGTAATGAGAGTGTGTGTAAAATTATAATAAGTGTGTGTAAATAAAGAATGCCCATGCAAACAACAATATACATGGCCATGGTAGGGAAATTATAATAAGTGTTTATTCAAGTGAAATTACTAATAAGTGTTTAACAAAATTATAATAAGCGTGTGTAAATTATAATAAGTGTGTTTATTAAGTGTGTGTAAAGAGGGGAATGGGGATGTGGAAATATAAGCTCCCTTCAAACAACAATATACAACAGAAGGGGGAAAAAAAAAAAACCTGTTCGGAAGTTCACAACCGAAAATACATATTCTGTTCGGAAGTTGAGTGTTGTCCAAATTCAAATTTTTCAGAAGTTGACTATCGAAACAATGAAACATTTTCGAAAATCTACTAATGAAATTATTGATTATTTTTGGATTTCTACATCCGAACAAATTGTTATACTTTGAAAAACCAATTCCAAACGATGGTTACAAATGAAAAACTCTACATTACAAATGAACATGGGGTGTGCTAGCCGTTGGGAGCTATTTGGCAAATGAAAAAAATTAAAGATTTGTGAAAAAAGTTACCCCAACTGTGTGAAGCAAGGAGCTATTTGCACCGTTGGGAGAGCAATGTGAGAGATGCAGCACAGCTTCAATGGGTGTATTTGCACCGTTGGGAGAGTAATGTGAGAGATGTAGCTTCAATGGGTGTGCACCATCAGGAGAGCTGGGTTTGTGTGCGTGTGTGCATATGTGTGTGTGTGTGAGTGTGAGGGTAGATGTAGAATCAAATGTGTGTGCAGTGAGTAAAAGAATTAGGAATGATTTTTTTTGGTGTGTGTAGTGAGAAGGATGTGCAAAGAGGGTATTTGGTGTGTGTAGATAGAAGCTCCCGATTAAATCTCAATACCAAGTTTCCTTGGCCTTTGTTAGTCTCCATCCATGAAATTCACATTCCGTTGAAACTAGCAATCCGTTAAAACTACTTGCAAACAAATAGAATATTCCTACTCACTATTAGTCCCAAGTCAATGCGCTACTTTCAAAAACAAACAAGGTCTTAGACCTCCTCTAACCGATGATTCAAATCCATGGTGGCATACTACTAACATTTGACATCAAATGAACACTCCACCCGATACAGTAAAATGTGACTCGGCTTTTAGAATGAACATGGCATGTCAATTTTGACATGCTCCAGAGCTCTTGTCAATTTTATTTTTTATTTATTTATTTATTTATTTTTCTACTACTTTTTAATGTTCAACAGTAACATTATGGAAAATAAGTCCACTAGTAATAAAAATGATACACAATACAATACAACAATAAAATTGACATATCCGGTTGAGAACTTTTTTTTGTAGAAAATATAAAATTAATGTATATCAATTTACTAACTGTAGACACCCCATTTTTGACCAACCTTAAGACTCAGACGTCACCAACTGAGCGCTCGGTGATGTTGCATATTGTGCTCGTTCTGAGGTTTTAGAGTCTCGGTTGCGAGCCTTGCCTCCGAACTTCGGGGATCTTTTATACTTTGCCTCTGTTCGTGAACCAGGTCCTGTTTTCTCTGTTTTCTCTTTCCGAAGGGAGGGAGAGGTCTCGTAGACCATCTCTCAATGGTCGTAGGCTACGTTTTGTGGTCGTAGGCCATTTTTCCCGTTTGGAGCCCAGTTTCCAGTTTTCAGAGCCGTCGGCCGTGTGCCTCAGTTCAGGACCGCTTAACTACCTCCGATTGCTCCGATTTTTGGAACACGTCTTAT